GAGAGGAAGGAGCGGGAGGTGGGGGTCGGCGAGGAATAGGCGAGAGGCAGAGTGAGGAAAGACGGGGCGAGTATCCGGTCTTTCCCGGGCTGCTTGGATGGTGATGCCAAAGTAAGCACAGTTTACCTCTTCCGAGGGGAGCACTGAGGCGAAGGGAGAGCAGAATTGTCTCTGGGAGCATAGAGACAGAAGCGCACACGCCTGCTGAAGGCTCTCACAAACTTGCACACGCACACCATGCTCACGCTCAAGAGTTTCCCACCGCGGGCTGCGATTCGATGGGCATTAATACTGTAAGCTGCCAAATCACCCAGCAGCTCCAATCTGTGCATGCGGGATGAGATACACATTTCTGTCCAGCTAGCCGGAGCCACAGTGGGGAGTGCTCTTGGGTTTGTTCTTTATTGCCGACTGCAGCACCAGACAATACCTCATGCATAAAGCCTCACAGGAAAAGGAAATGTGGAAGATATTTTAAGCAAATTTACGCCATCAGAGTTAGCCTACATGTGTTCGGCATTTCATGTCAGGTAGTTACAGCTTTTTTGGTATCACACAAGATTTACCGTATTACTGAATCATTGCCTCTGCCTGCCAGGAACACTGCATTCACATGCAAAACTCATTCACTTACACACACATTGACAAGAATGCCTAGACTCCCAGGTGGTTGCAGAACACTACAGCGGTAATCCCTGCAGGTCTGTGTCAGAACCCTCTAGGAGAGAAGCAGGACAAAGATGTACACTGTAATTTAAAGCTTTTTGCATGTGATAATTTTTGTGTGTACAAACTTGTGTTCCTCTGTGGACATGTGTATGTGTGTGTATTTCTGTGTAGTATTTACCCATTTATCTAAGCTACTGATAACTTTAAATACAAACTTATCTCTTCCTTTTTTCCAGTGCCACTGTATGCATTCCTTTTCCTTGCCCTCCCCTTCTCTTATCCCAAGCTCTTTTGTGGGACCTATTTTACAGCATTGAAACACTGCTGTAGAAAAATGCCAATGTTTTACAAGATAATGTCTGCTTTATTACAGAAAGGAGTCATCCTTTAACAGTTGTCAACAGTTGCTCTCTTAACACACAGCAGCAAATAGCTGAGCCTGTAAATCTAGAATGAGCAGGGAAAGCTGGAGAAATTCTGCCTTGACTTTTAACCCCACCTCCAGGTTGCAAAGGGTTTAAGTCAGTATGTGTAAAACCCTAGAGCAATAACAACAGAAGTCAATTACCACTTGCTTATCGGTCATTTCTTAGCATATACAACCTTATCTAACAGTAATGTGTGTGTGTGTGTGTGTGTGTATGACTATTAAAGCTGACAGTTCACAGCTATCAGCTATTAGCTAATGGTACTAATACCGTAATTCTTTGGAAAAATATTTCTCCCTCCATGGTAAAGATTGCCATTTTTACAATATGTTTTAATTACTAAGGAAAGCTTATACTTTTTCACAGAATATTATTGCACAGTCTCATCAAGGGGGAGAACCTGAGAAGGGCTTAAACCAATCCCCACATCAGACCTTCTTTAAACATTGAAATAACCCATTTCCAGATCTGGACTTGCAACTAGACTACTGCGCCCAAAGGAAAGATTATTTCTAAGCTTCAGTTTCTTCCCCAGGTAGCCTCAGAGAGACCTTGTAAGTAAGAGCATAAAGCTGCCATTGCAGAATTGGCTTTAATCAGGTATTACTATAGCAAGCAACTGCTAGGGATTTATCAAGGCATACACAATTACAGTCAGATATTCTGGCTTCCAGGGTTTTCTAGAGAGCCCCTCATCTTTTTTTTTTTTTTTTTTTTTTTTTT